GGTACAGCAGATTTTTAAGGCCAAAAAAATGGGTAATGTTCTTGATATATGTGAGCAGCCACCATGCCTGCTTTGTGCATTGACTTAGGATTAGGCTAGTGAGAGAGAAGGGTTGACCACTCAGGGACTCCCTCTGTGATGGGGTTCTGTTTTGCCCCACTCACCACCAAGAGGGAATGGGAGTTGGCTCCTGCTTCTCAGGAGGGAAGTTTTAGTTGGTACTATATGATGCATATCACGAGACTTAGAGAGTGAAGCGCGACTCAGTCTGCTGCATATTTAATAGGCAGTTAGCCACATGTTGTTAATAAGTGTGATAATAATAGCCTGGATTTGCATAGAGTTTTCTTTAGAAGAGTTGAGTAGAGATGGTAAATGTGCTAGTTTGTTTGTCAGTCTCAGCTGTGGCAGTGCACTGGCCCTACCAACAAACTGCCCTGGGCAAGCTGGTGGAGTGAAAGGAAATGCCTGCTGACATTGTTGTTCAGACTCCAGTTGTCTGCCTGTGATTGCGCTCTGTTCCTCTTTTGACTGCCCTCAAGATTAAATTCCGATGTTTGCCATAGTAACCCACGGCCACAGAGTGGATGCCAACTCACAGTGACCCTTAAGGGTTTTTCAAGACTGTAGATCTTTAGGGAAGCAGACTGTCTCATTTTCATCCTCTAGAGTGCCTGTTAGTGGCCCAACACTTGCCCTACTGCCCCACTAATGCTATACTGCACTAATGACTAGACTAGACTAGACTAGGAAGAGGTAAGTCCAGCTATCATTGATTCCTGGAGCTCTCATGTATGTCACAGTGTGGAACTATGTGCCGTGGGGTTTTCCAGTGGTTCCGTTTTCAGCTATGGATTGCCAGGCTTTTCTATTGAGGTACCTCAGGGTGGATTTAAATTTATAATCTATTGGTTAACAATCAGGCATTTTTGCCATTTGCACTATCCAGGAGCTGACAGAAAGCGGTATAAAAGAAAAAAGATGAATAAAATGGGGAAGTGCATCTTTCTCACTTCAGGAGACATGAGTTACCTTTGGACTGGGAATTCCTTGTATATTTTGTTATTATTATAAACTGGAGGGTTTTGATGATTGTTTTCAGCCTTGGGGCTGGACTGCCAGCGGTGCAGCTTCCAGGACGAGGTGGGGGAGGTGACAAGTGTTTGGGGACAGGAAAACCAGCTTTCTGGCTTTGCACACTGTCAGCGGGCACAGCTACCTTGTTGTGCATCCACTCTCGGCCCCTGAAAGTTTGACTGAAAAGTAATTTTAACAATTTAATAAACGGCATAATATGTTTTATAAGCTGGGGCGAATGATCTTAAGTATTTTGGTCTCTTTCATAACACAATGAACCTAATAATGGTAAAAATACAGATCTGCACTCACACCAAAAAGAGAGGCTAGATTTAATAAGCAGTTATGAGGGCTGGCAGCTGCCTATCAGATTGTATCACTTGGACCAGCGCAGACCAAGACGGTGTCAACTTAAATTTTATCTCTGAAGTATTTTCGAGGCGTTGACTTTGCCTTTCTCTCTAGTCCTCAACCTAACACAAGCAATGTAGTGGGCTGAAGATTTTCCACATCGCTAATTGGCCAAAGGCCAGCGTGGAAACCATTGTTGGGCTTGATTGCAGATCAGAAATTAACGTGACATTTACGAGGAGGTAATGGAATATGTTAGTCAAGTAGTTATTCTGGGTGGTGGCAGAGTGGCCATCCTTTTCCGACCAAAAGCAACACAAGGAGTTCTGCAAATGATAAAAGAAGCTGACCCCACCACCTACTATCCAACCGCAGTGGCCAGCCAACCAGTGGCCAAATGTGTTTTCTAAGTCTAAAGACAAAACTGCAAGATAAACTAATGAATTCTTCTATGGATTAAAAAAAAAAAGCCACCAATGCTAGCATAAGGTTACATAACAGAAGACTGCGTTTAATTTGGATCGTGTAACTTTGCTTTAAGGTGTTCTGTTGGAGGTGAGTTTATGTGAGACTAATTTATGTGGTCTGGGTAGATATAAATTTCTTGGATAATGTTAAACATGCTACTTCATATATATTAGCCGTGAA